AGAGGCAGGTATTGATTTTTTAGGTTTCTTAGCAAGGAAAAACATTGTGAGAAAATACTCTAAATATCTTTCTTCTTTTCTTTTGATTTTATGATGAATTCAAGCTTAGTTTATTTTCCCATAGCCATGAGTAGCTAAATTCCTTGTCTAAGGTTTTGATGGAACCTATTGGGTGATGAACTTCTTGTTTATGTGAATACAAATTGCTAGTTTAATCTCTATTTGTTCAACTTCGTGTTCGTTGTAGTTAATTGACAGGATCCTCAATTAGCTGTGCCTATTTAGTGTGCATAACTTGGAAAAGAGTGCATATTTAGGGTATTGTTGAACAACACCACTCCTAGATTATTAGAGGAATCTATAATTGCGGGTTTAAAGGCGGGATTAGGAATAACGAAGCCTTGGGTGCAATCTAAATTGAATTGTGCTAAATAAAGCAAGCTAGTGTATCTCGGGAGAGTGCAATAGTAGATTACTGTGATTACTCGGGAGAGATTTGCGGTAAGATTAGCGTTCATGATTGATAGAGATGTGTGGGTAAATTTGTATGAGCATAAACAGAAGGGATTCCATCAATAGGGGAAATCATTGCCTTAGCTTTGTCCCATAATTGTTTACAACCTTATTAATTTAGTTACAGCCATTTAGTTACTTGCAAGCTAGTTGTTAAAGAACACTCAACTGAGATTTGAATATTTGGGAAGCTGGTTCTGAAGAATTAGTGGGTCTGAAGATAGTGGTTGATAGGTTAACTCTCTGTGGATTCGACCCTGGGCGTAATACTCGGGTTATATTTGCAACGTCCGCAGAGTCCTTTTTATAAGGCATAGTTGGGCGTGATCAAATTTTGGCGCCGTTGCCGGGGAGTTAACGGAATTATCAATTACCATTGATAGAAATACAAAAATTCTTAGTGTGGTCAGTTTTCTCTATACCCAACTTGTGAATATTTGTGTAATTAATTTTTCTTACCTTGGTCTATTTTTATTGTTATTCGTGTTTATTTTCTTAGTTTTGAAAAATGGCATCATATAATGAAAATTGGTCGGATGGTAGTTGTTCATACTTTGATGACCCTTGTCCTTATTGTGGAGGACCACACTCGTGGCAAAATTGTTTAAGTTTTCCCAGGGGTGGATTGTGCGCACAATCTCAAACCCATGAGTGGAGTATTTGTGATAAGTGTGGTTTTCAAAATGGTCATTGGGATGTTTGTGCTTATTTGTCCTTCCCTTCCCCAAGCCCCCACTATGATGATTCTACTTTTTGTGATGAAAATTATAGGGCCATGGGAGTTGAAGAAGTTGAGCATGGCCGAAATGGAGAGTTCAAGCTCATGTTGGAATGTTTACTTGAAGGAGGAAACAAAGAACAAAGTGCCTTGGAGGAGCTTTTGGAAAATAGTCTCCGAAATGACTTGGCACTTGAAAGGTGTCACTCACAAATGGGAGAAATGCTTGAAGCTTTAGAGGTCCAAAAAGCCTCGAAAGTTAATGGAGCCAAGAACTTTCCTTAGATGTGGAAGCCGAAAATCTTTCCTTGGCACTTGATCAAAACCAAGAAGAATCCAATTTCGAGGAAGAAAGTGAGCGTTACTTTGAGGATTCAAGAATTGAACATCCGCCAACCGACTCCATAAGTGTTAACGGTGCCGAGAAAAAAATAGGATTAGAGTCAACCGGTGTAAATAAAAATTTGGTTGAGATTGACTCTAACTCGAGGGAAAAAGAGGATGTCAAAACCCGAGAAAAATTGCAAAATGAAGGTTTGAAGTCGCATTTCAAGCATTTTTCAACATTGGACTTGTGTGGTGATATGGGAATTGATCTACACGACTCAATGAGGGATTGCAAGGAGGAAAGGCAACAACCATTCATCTTACAATTTGAGGGAACAAGGAGGCAAAATGACATTCCTCACATGAAAGCCAAGAAGTGCAAAATGAAGTACTTAAAGCTTGGCCCGATCATCAACGTACCACCCCCGATCGCTCGAGGTCACAAGCTTGATTCCAAGCTAGGTGCCCAGTTCATATCATCCAAGTGGCGAGAAAAGTGTGTCAATTTTTATTTTTTATTTTTTTCTTCTAGGAGCATGGAAAGCAAAGGTAGTGGAAGGATGCAACAGCAAACCAAATGGTTGGAACTAAGTGTGAGGTACCCGCACGAAGGACCAAGCTTGGGAAAAGCCTGAGTACCCCATGAGCTGCTAGTACTTCGGCCTTTGGCCTACCAGGGATTTTCATTTACCCTCTTATTTTTGATATGACATGGGGACATGCCATAATTTTAAGTGTGGGGTGGGAGACTTGCTCTGGTAGTGTATATAGACATTGAGTATGTTGTAATATTAGATTGATGTTGTTGTGTATAATTGACTGTACTCACATTAGAAGTAACTGACTTGGCCCAACGACGGACACTTGTCGACATGTCTCTTGAGGGTCATAGTCGAATCTAAAAAAAAAGAAAAAATAAAAAAAAAAAACTTGTAGAGGACTCTCCCTGATGACGGACTATGTGGACAGTACTCTTGAGGGAAGTAGTCCATGTAGAATTTTTTTTATTTTATGTTCTTCTTTTAGGTAGTGTAGTACCTCCCCCTTGGTTTTTCTTTTGACCACGATTCTTTTCCAAGGGTTTTTCTTGAACCGGGTTAGGTAGATTTTTCTTTTATAGTTTTAGGATTAAACGGGTGAAGGTCAGAATGTAACCCCAAATGTGCACACTTGCAAAGAAAACGAACTAATGGTGTAAGGTCTAAGCTTGTTTGTGGACTCATAATATATGCCTTAATTTTGCACATATTGTCTTGCTTGAACACTCGTATGATTGTGTTGATGAACTAATTCGGAATGAGTTACATGCTAAGTGTGTGTGAGTTGTTACTTGCATCCTATGCTTGCATATGATACCTAGAACTTGCCCTGTGTGTTTGCAAGCGAAATAGAAGTCGTTTGGTTTTAGAGATGATTGAGGCATTTCTTTGTGCAACCCTCTATACTTGAGAATCCACCTGTGCATATTACCATAGTTACCCCCTTTGAGCCTGAAGCCTGTTCTTTGATAACCCTGTAATGATCTAAATCGATGTGTTTGAATAAGCTAATTGTTTGAACTTTACCCCCTAGAAGTACTTGAATCACTAAAGAATATACAAAAGTCAAAGTGTGGGTGGGATGAGAGTTAGTGAAAAAAGGGAATCAAGAATGAAGGTTCTGATTGGTGAACTGGCAGTGTACAATAAATCTAAAAAAAAAAGAAGAAGAAGAAGAAGAAGCCAGTTGTACCTAAAGAAAAGTGGGGGTCACAAGTGAAACAAAATGTGGAATAATGATCGGGTTGAACAAGAAGGTGAAACAAAAGGAAGTGTGTATTAAAAGTGCTTAGGGAGGTTAGTCACTATATCCAAATATATCCTATCCATCCCTTAGCCTACATTACAACCTATAAAGACCTCTTGATCTTTGACTGAATGGCTCGATTAGTGGAGTATTACACTAGGGGCAAGCTATGGTGTGTCTGTGTGGCATGTGAATGCTCTTTGTTGAGAGTGAGTGAATTCTTTCTATATATGGTTTCTTGTTGTTGAATTTTATGTGTGTGGAACTTCTCTCAAATTTTGTTTATGTGAGGGCATGTGACTCAGGAAGAAAAAGTGAGTTTTCACTTCTGTGGAGTAATTAGAACGAGCACAAGTGTGCCTTGGCATGACAGTCTGCATTTGAGATATGATTGTGCACCGCTTAGGTCGATCTTTGACAATAGCAGGTGTGACATAAATTGGGGCAATGCATTGAGCAGTTAGGCCTAGAAGTGTGGTTTAGTTTGCTCGAGGACGAGCAAGGGTTTAAGTGTGGGGTGTTGATAATAGGTGAATTTGACTATAATCACACCTTAAATAATCACCTTCTTGTGTAGTTTTAATGCTAAAAGTGATAACAAAATGCTCTTATTAGTGCTTTTCATGATTTGCAGGCGATATATGTATAAGGAAGGCTAAGGAGCAGGTTTTGGAGTCAAATTGATGAAAAAGAGGCCAACTGTGAAATTTCCCAAGTGAACCATGCAAAACAGGCCGAAGATTCAGAGTACTGGATCCACCGCGGTTCCACCGCGACCGCGGCAGAACCGCGGTGGAAAGCAGCTGCAGAGAACCTCGGCAGGCGCAGAAACTTCAGGGACCAAAGTGTCAATTACGGGATTTTTAGACCTAAACCCTATTTAAAACATTAGACTTTACCCAAGAGAGGCAGGTATTGATTTTTTAGGTTTCTTAGCAAGGAAAAACATTGTGAGAAAATACTCTAAACATCTTTCTTCTTTTCTTTTGGTTTTATGATGAATTCAAGCTTAGTTTATTTTCCCATAGCCATGAGTAGCTAAATTCCTTGTCTAAGGTTTTGATGGAACCTATTGGGTGATGAACTTCTTGTTTATGTGAATACAAATTGCTAGTTTAATCTCTATTTGTTCAACTTCGTGTTCGTTGTAGTTAATTGACAGGATCCTCAATTAGCTGTGCCTATTTAGTGTGCATAACTTGGAAAAGAGTGCATATTTAGGGTATTGTTGAACAACACCACTCATAGATTATTAGAGGAATCTATAATTGCGGGTTTAAAGGCGGGATTAGGAATAACGAAGCCTTGGGTGCAATCTAAATTGAATTGTGCTAAATAAAGCAAGCTAGTGTATCTCGGGAGAGTGCAATAGTAGATTACTGTGATTACTTGGGAGAGATTTGCAGTAAGATTATTGTTCATGATTGATAGAGATGTGTGGGTAAATTTGTATGAGCATAAACAGAAGGGATTCCATCAATAGGGGAAATCATTGCCTTAGCTTTTCCTCATAATTGTTTACAACCTCACTAGTTTAGTTTACAGCTATTTAGTTACTTGCAAGCTAGTCGTTAAAGAACACTCAACTGAGATTTGAATATTTGGGAAGCTGGTTCTGAAGAATTAGTGGGTCTGAAGATAGTGGTTGATAGGTTAACTCTATGTGGATTCGACCCTGGGCGTAATACTCGGGTTATATTTGCAACGTCCGCAGAGTCCTTTTTATAAGGCATAGTTGGGCGTGATCAAGCTCTAACTATTGCCCACCCATTACACTTTTGGAATATAAGTTCGAAATTAATTTTTTCTTTAAAAAGAGTAATTTTCTTACATCTATGTCTATTTCCATGTTAAAAATATTGGGATTAGTTGAACCCATTGACTATATGCTATATCATACGCTGTTACTAGTTTTAAAATACACATTTTGTTTAATCATATAAGATTTTACAACGACAAAAGAAGAATAGGAATTTTACTGTGTGAAAATTTTGAAAGAATAAACCAAACAATTAAGGAAATAAAAAGAAAAAGTACTTAATTACTATCCAAAAAGTGACACTAGGCACGCCCATCCCCGTGGGCATCTAGTTCTAGAAAAAAAGAAGGAAAAAATAACAAGATTGACATAAGATTTGAACTCACAACCTCACCTAGAGAGGTACACCTAATAACCATAACATCATATAGTACTTTGAGCATGGGTGCACACGCATACATTTAAATATTTTTGGAAAAAATATTACATTAGTACTATACATGATTTGGGGAGGGGAGCATGGGTTCACGTTTTCCATGGAACCCCCCATAGATACGCCCCTGGTCTTTGCCTTCCGTAAATATTTGTCTTTATTATTACATATTGACATTGTATTGTATCTTATTGTTACTAAATACATATTTATTTTTTTCTTATTTAAATTTTATTATATTGTATTGTTAAATTGTCCTTAGTACAAAAAGTGTTACTTTATGTAATGACTGATTTAGTGCGATTGCGTCGTTATCTTATTTTTTTCCCTCTCATTTTACCCTTCTTTATTATTAAATAATTTTATTTTATCGTTTACTCTACCTTTTTATATATCAATTCTACCTTGTACCTTACTTTTTTTATAATGTTACAAATTTATTCTTTATATTATAGGTGCATCATCATAAAACAACGGCAATACAATCTATTCAAATATTATATACATCAAAATAATACAATACAATACAATAGGATCCATTATGAAACAATACATAACAACAATTTAAACAAGCTGTAACAAAGCTGCAAATTCTTCCGTAAAATGTCCGAAAATGAGATTATTTTTTTCCTATTAGACTAAACTAAATATTTAATAGAGGGCAAATTGGGTAATTAAAACATGTACAAATTTGCCCCTTCTCCCTGAAATCCACTTTCCGTACTATTCTTCCATTTTCTCTGAAAATTTGCTCTGAAGTCTCTCTACCTTAAAATTACCAAAAATTTCAATAATCAATTCTTGAATCCCTTTATCAAAAATTTGCTCTGAAACTTAAATCTTTTTCCACTGATTTAATATTTTCTATGGCTAAGGAAAACCATGTCTTTAATTACAAAGCTTCTGAAACTAACTCCCAATCCACATCTTTTTCTTTTACAAAACTGTCCAAATATGAAACAATTATTGAAATTTCATGCACATTTTGTCACAACTGGACTTTCCAATGACACCCTTTTCCTTAGTGCTATTTTATCTTTTACTGCACTCTCTCCTAATGGAAATTTAGCTTATAGCCATTTAATTTTTGACCACATTGATTCACCTAACACTTTTATGTTTAATACTATGATTAGGGGCTATGCTTCTAGTGTTAATCCAAGTAAAGCAATGAGTTTTTATGTTAAAATGTTGCATTATGGTTTTGTTCCTAATAATTATACATTCCCTTTTGTGATTAAAGCTTTGTCTAGTACTAAAGATTACTTTTTGGGTGAAGCCTTACATTGTTCAGTTATTAAATTTGGGCATATTTTGGACCTTCATATAGTAAATTCATTTTTACATATGTATGCTAGTTTTGGTTTGTCTAATGAGATCATGATTCTGTTTGATGAAATTCCTGAACCAGATATCGTTTCTTGGAATGTGATTATTGATGATCTTGGTCAAAATGGTTGTTTTTATGAGGTTCTTGGTGCAGTCAATGAGATGTTTCGATACGGAGTTGAGCCTAACTCGGTTACACTTCTTGGACTTGTCTCGTCGTGCTTAAAAACGGGGGATTTTGGTACAGGGAAGTTAATTCATTTGTATGTAATAAAGAAAGGGATACACATTAGTGAGAATCTTGGAAATGGTTTGATTGATATGTATGCTAAGTTTGGTGATATGGAATCAGCTGACAAACTGTTCGATAGGATACAAATGAAGACAGTGGTAACATGGACTTCACTTCTTGTTGGTTTTATACAAAAAGGTGAACTAGAAAAAGCTAGTGTGATTTTTACTCATATGCCCAAGGATACTACCGCTTATAATGTCATGCTTAATGGATATGCTGAGGCTCGCGATATGAGTTCAGCTGAAATGATCTTTAAAGCAATGCCAAATAGAGATTTGGTTTCGTGGAACACTATGATTGTTGGCTATACTCAGAACAAGAAGTATATGAAGTCCTTAGAGCTGCTAAGAGAAATGCTTAGTTTCGGATTGAAACCTGATCGGATAACATTAGTCGGGTTGTTCTCAGTATGTGGATACGCAGGTGTACTGCGTGTTGGTGAAGCCGTTCATTCTTTTGCAGAAAAACAGGACATAAAAGAGGAAGAAGTTGAGGTAGCCTTGTTAGATATGTATAGCAAATGTGGTGATCCTGAGAAAGCTCTTAGAGTATTTGAAACGATACCAAGAAAGTCGGTGTTAGCTTGGACTAACATGATTGTAGGACTAGCAATGAATGGTCTTGCAAATGAAGCTCTAATGTTGTTCAATCAAATGTGTAATGAGGGAATAAAGCCTAATGAGATAACATTTTTAGGTGTTTTATGTGGTTGTAGTTATGCAGGTTTAGTAAAAGAAGGTAAATGGTTGTTCAATGCAATGAGTCAAGTACATGGTATTACACCAAGATCTGAGCATTATGGTTGTATGGTAGATCTTCTTGGCCGAGCCGGTTTGCTAAAGGAGGCAGAGATGTTTATTCAAGAAATGCCAGAAAAGGCTGACGTTGGAATCTGGGGTGCATTATTAGGAGCTTGTAAAATGCATGGTGAGGTTCAATTAGGTGAAAAGATAGCCAAGATTGTGACTCAAATGGACCCTTATCATTCGGGGCGTTACATTCTTCTTTCCAATATTTATGCTGCAGAAAATAGATGGATTGATGCTGAAAAAGTCAGAAAGAAGATGAAACGTTCAGGTATACATAAAACTCCAGGCTTCAGCTTGGTTGAGATGAAAGGTGAAATGCATCAATTCATAGTAGGGAATCCTTCTCTATGATGAGGATTGGCAAATTTGATGCATTTATGTACCAAGAAAGAAAAAAGCTTGTGCATTTTTTTGGCATAATATGGTGTTCAAATTGGTTAAATATTACTCTCTCTATTCTACAAAATTTATAGTGGACTGGATTAATTTTCAGTTTAGCATCAGATATTAGAAATTGTGTCCTCAATAACAACAGAATATATTGCTTCACAGAAAATGGATCAAAGAACAATTGAAGCCATTGCAGTTAGGAGGGAATGTTGTCAATCTTGTAAATGTGTAATTGGAATAAGTTTTGTTAGACAAACTGTCCCAAGCTGATAAACAAGACGAATTTGAGTATGAGCTTCAAACTTTCTAACTTTTTATCCCCCCTCCCCCTC